GCATTCTTTGTAAGTGGGCAAACCTGCAAAATCAGCAAGGGGTCAAATACTTATTTCCCCCACTGTATATCTGCCAACAACACAAGGGAAGATAGAAAATGGAGAACGAGCTGGAACACACGGAACCTGTTGTTCTGTTCTGGGATTTATCCAGTTATCCAGCTTTGAGCTTTACATGATTGTATATCTTAGAGTTATGCTACTGGTGTGAGTCAGAGGGTGCTTCCGAGATGGTATTCAATTCAATTAAATTGAATTTTATTTATATAGCGCCACATCACAACAACAGTTATCTCACAGTGCTTTCCAAACAGAGCAGGTCAGACCCTACTCTGAAGTTTATTACAGAAACCCAACAATTCCCACCATGAGCAAGCACTAGGCGACACAGGCAAGGAAAAACTTCCTTTTAACAGGCAGAAACCTGGAGCACAACCATGGCTCAGGGTGGGGGGTGAGAGAGAGGCAGCCTACAGTAACACATCAAATTGATGAAAAATGGCAATGACATTGATACTAATGATAATGATAGGAGTTATGACAGCAATGCATTGTTTGACATGTTTTAGACTTAGACTTAAACTTAGACTGTACTCTCTCATGAAACTAAGGTTACCAGCAGCTTACAGGGCAAAAAAGTGGCACACAGAGAGCAAAATTAAGCAAAAAAACAGGCAAAGAGTAAGAATATAAATGCAATACAACCCTTAAGAAAATATAGGAGTTTAGCGGATAGATTTTATGTCCTTAGGAGACATACAGTGGGGGAAATAAGTATTTGACCCCTTGCTGATTTTGCAGGTTTGCCCACTTACAAAGAATGCTTATTTTTCCTCATCAGATGGTTATCAATTTTTATAAATTCATATGATTGGATTTTCTGGAATTTTCTTTGGGATTCTGTCTTTCACTGTTAGAATCTACATATGATTAAAGTTATAGATCGTTGCGTTCTTTGTAAGTGGGCAAACCTGCAGAATCAGCAAGGGCTCAAATACTTATTTCCCCCACTGTATATAGAGTTGATAAATGACCAGTTAATAACAGATCATGCTGTCTTGTATATATATAGTGGACATAAGGACAGGCTGCATTCTGATGCCATTACATTGAATTTATTACAGCAAAAAGTCAAACACAATAGCTTAGCAGCATTTCCTCCTTCCTCCTTTTCTCTGAGTGCCCCCCCCCCCCTCCTCTGTCGTGGGCTTTATGAGCATTGAGAGCTTTCTAAAGTCAGACGAGTACGTGTTCTGGGATTTATGTCTTCTCTCCAGTGGTGGGAGAGATGGCTTTAATTAGGCGCCGGGTTGATGTGACCCAGCAGCTTTTTCTCCCGGGACAAATAGATTGTTTGACTTGTCGTGTCTGAGGAGCCGGTCGGTTTCTCTGGAGAAGTTTCCCTGCCCTCCCCCCCCCTTACCCTCCCCCCCCGGGGTCAAGTGCCACTGTGTCACCTGGTTTAAGGAGGAAGGAAACCTCCTGGATTCTTTTATTTCGCAATCATCCTTATCCCAAACAATAAGAAATGCTGTCAGGCCGGTGGGCAGATTTTTTTAGTATAAAAATGGTCAGAAAGCATTAGATTTTGATAGCAAATATGACTTTTTAAGTCTATTTTTTTTATTTCAGTGACTACATATCGATGTTTTAAGATAAAAATATTTCTTTTTAAGTCTATTTTTTTATTTCAGTAACTACATATCTATGTTTAAGATAAAAATATTACTTTTTAAGTCAATTTTTTTATTATTTCAGTAGCTACATATCTATGTTTAAGATAGAAATATCACTTTTTAAGTCAATTTTTTTATCTCAGTAACTACATATCTATGTTTAAGATAAAAATATTCATTTTTAAGTCTATTTTTTTATTTCATTAACTACATATCTATGTTTAAGATAGAAATATTACTTTTTAAGCATATTTTTACATTTCAGTAACTACATATCTATGTTTAAGATAAAAATCTTACTTTTTAAGTCTATTTTTTTATTTCAGTAACTACATATCTATGTTTAAGATAAAAATATTAC